ACACACACACACACACACACGTTTACTTAGCTATCTAAATGGGGACATTACATAGACTTCTATTGTTTTTATATACATATAGTTATAGATTTTCTAACCTAAACCTACCCCTACCCCTATCCCTACCCCTCACATAAAACTTTCTGCATTTTTACAATTTCAAAAATACTTTGTTTACTTTATTTTTATACCAGTTTTACATGTCCCCAAATGGAGGTCTTTGGTGATTTTGTCAGGTTTTGCTCACTTTCACACACACACACACACACACTCCTCTAAAAGTAAACATGGGGTCATTTAGGAGGCAACACTATAGCAACATGACTGTACTGTCTAAGCCACACCCTGAAGAAGACACTTTACAGTAAACATTAGTCATTGCAGGACAATTATTATTATTTGGAAAACATTAGAAAAATGGGTTCAATCCCCCATTGCGGTACTACATAGAGGGAGAATAACAGAAATAGAGGAGGAGATGGGGAGGTGGAGGGATTCGGGGAGAATTGATGCTGGGACGGTGCAATGAGTGCTGCTTATATTGGCTCGTAATGATGATTGACAGGACTGAATGATTAGGCTCCTCCCAAACCTACGCTAGGAACTTCATGTTAGTAACTAATGGGACTTGATTGTAAAGTGTTTCTGAAATGTTTTTCATTCGCACAGAAACTGATCTATTTCTATTATTGTTAATCTTAGAATTAATTATACTTAGGGCTGGACAATAATTCAATATCATTATATAACACCATTTCTTTTCAATAACGGTGATATGATTTTTTTTTAACATTTCCGATATTTCAAAATACATTACCAGTGTTTCCCATGCATTGATTTATTTGTGGCAGCCCGCCACAATATCAACACTGACCGCAAAAATTTTTTTTCCTAAAGGCTTTGACTTCGTTGAATAAACATGATCACTGCACTTTCCAAAATCAAAACGCGGCGCGGGTGTTTTATATGAATGTATCTTTGAAGGCAGCCAACTGTCTTTGGAAAAGTTTAGATGGCATTTTCATTTTATCTAAAAAAAGTAGCGTTTATAAGCGGAGCACTGCTTTGTGTGCAACCGTTACCATGGAAACAGAGAATGAATTTGCATTTTCAATAAGCCTGTCTCCAGCAACATGTGTTTTTGTTGTTGCTTATTTTTTTTCTGTTTTCTGCAGCAACTCTGAGCACTTTTCCTATTCTTTATCCTGGCTAAAGCACTTTTGTTTCAATCCGTAAGAATAATCAGCCTATGTTATAGTTTAAAGTTTTATTATATATTATACTATATCGTTTTATAGGGGGAGGTTTCAGAAGTTTGTAGGTACAGACATCCGTTATGGACATTCTTGGCAGTTTTTCGGAATATTTTTTTAATATTGTTCATATCGATATCGGAATTATATCGTATCGACAGAAATTAAGAAATATATCGTAATATAAATTTGTATCGTCCAACCCTAATTATATAACAGAAACTGCATTGTACATCGCTTTGGATAAAAGCGTCTGCTAAACGAAAAAATGTAAATGTTCATTGCTTGAAATTTTATATAAAATTTATTTTATTTTTATCATAGAAAACACCATGGTGAGCATGATTATAATACTACAGTAAAACAATAATAGATCAATATGGGATCTTCAAACTGTTTAAAAACATGTCAGTCTTTCTGTCATTTATGATTCAGTAATCCATTTGTTAATTTATGGAATATCTGTATTTTGGTGTAATGTTACCATAGTAAATTATTTGTAAGGGCCTCCTCTCAGTTGCACAAGAATCACAAAAATGACTAAGAAACATCTGGAGTGAGTAATTTGTGACCTCATGGCATGTACAGTTTTATAGATAAATGTATGATTTATGACACTCAGAGCATAACAACAAAATAAACGCTCAATTCAAACGGCGCCCCCTTGTGGAAGCTTCATGTTAATGGCAGAGACTACAGTCATGTTCACACACCAGTCCTCTAACACATATGGTCAGTTATGGACTGATGTTGTTCTCTGTCGTGTGCAGGTGAGAAGCCCTATCAGTGCGACTACACAGGCTGTGGCCGCAGGTTTTCCCGATCTGACCAACTCAAGAGACACCAGCGCAGACACACAGGTTAGACACGTCTCTGCTCTTCAAAACACTCCAGGACAGAAATATTGGAGTTTTGTGGTCATAAATATGCTACACTTGTAACAATAAAGGTTCTTCATTGGCATTGATGGTTCCATGGAGAACCTTTAACATCTATGGAAACTTTTAATTCCACAAAATGTTCTTTATAGTGGAAAAAAGTTCTTTATATTATTAAAATGATCCTCACACTAAGAAAAAAAATGGTTCTTTTAAGAACTGCTGTTCACTCGAAGGTTCTTTTGGAAACTAAAAATGGTTCTTCTATGACATCACTGCAAAGCAAAAAAAAAACCTTTTGGAAGCTTTATTTTTAAATATAGTTTACTCTTAAACGTTACATATACTTTTAGCATTTAGCATTAACAACTATTAGAATGTAAAATTCATAGTCTTTCTCTTCTGGGAAAACAGATAAAAAAATATTGGTGACTCATCTTGCACTTAGGGGCGTATCCAAACTTTTGTCCAATCAGATGCTTTAGATTGAGATTGCCCCACCCACTAATTCCAGCTGTCATTAATCCATCGCTTGTATAAAGTATGAGAAGCCCACCACAGCTGTCTGTCTCCTGCTTTGCTCCTGTAGGTGTCAAACCCTTTCAGTGTGAGACGTGTCAAAGAAAGTTTTCACGCTCAGACCATCTTAAGACCCACACTCGGACTCATACAGGTAAAACAAGTGCGTAAGCCTTTTTTCCAGATTTCTCAAAAACCATTTGATCCATTTGTTGCATATACATTGATTTTATTACAGCACATCAATAAAATGTGTTGCTGTGTTTAATCTCTTGTGGTTGTCAGGTGAGAAGCCGTTTACGTGCCGCTGGCCCAGCTGTCAGAAGAAGTTCGCCCGCTCAGATGAGCTGGTCAGACATCACAGTATGCATCAGAGAAACGTGAGCAAACTCCAGTCTGCTGTTTGAGACACTGTACATACACTGGATCTAAACAAACACACAGATGCTGAGAAACTCTCAACAGTCGAGACCTGGCAGTCAGTGAACTGATAACATGAAGTCACAGCAAAATGCAAATTTACTACATTATCACAGCATCCATGTAAGAAGCAAATGGTGTGGAATGCATATATGGGGTTTTATTGAAGTTTGCCTTATTGTATTTGACATGGAACACTGCCATTTACTGAAGAATGTGTCTGGATCATCTCATTTTGTAAGTAAGAACTGTTCTTCCACTTGTAATAGCCATTTTTTACATATATGGACAGTTGATTGCACTGGGTATACTTTTTCTTTTTTATAAATGGCATGATGTGCTGGGTCACTCTTTTGGAAAATAAATTGTGGATGCTTGAGAAATGGCTAGCGTAAAAATAACATGCACTGTGATGCCTTTGTATATATGATTGTCAAGTGACAGCAGTCTTTCTTAAAATACCTTTTATAATAAACTACACTAAATTCTCAGGAAATGTATTTTTTTACTATATACACGTATGGATATATATATTATATACACACACACACACGTTTGTCTGTGTATGTGTACATATATAAAATTATATAAATTGCATATATACATGCATATATTTCAGCACACAAACACGCAAATTGTATGAAATTGTTAATCAGTAAGACTCATTATCCTTATAGCCAATAATTAAAAATATATGTTAAAAAGGAACACCTTACTAGAAAAGAGATATAGACCATAAATCGTCCAATAGATGTGTCCAGTGTGCATCTATACTATGAGCTATCTTTTGGAATTTTTTCCACTAAACTAACAAATATTAATTTTACATGAGCAAAAAAAAATAACATTTTAATAATTTCTCCCAAAGTTTGGTTTGGAGCATTTATTAAAAACAGCGTACAAAATCAAAACTGCATACAAACCTACACCAATGTAAATACAAGCAAGCCCCCAGAAACAGTTCCAGATGAATGCAAGTAGTGTTGTGTCAGTGTGGGGTCACATGAAATGCATCTCTATATACAGATCTAGTCCTCGTCCTGTTCAGCAAACACTGTATACTGTCATGGTTTGACTTCACTGCACAAAAAAGGTTAATGTTTGTCCTAAAATGAATGAGCGCTGAATGCATGCATGGATCAGGAAGACGGTCCGGCTTTCAACGGCCTTCAAGTTTCTATATACAAAAAACACAAAATGCTACTGAGATTTGAACATTTGCATTATTTCATATTGCCACTATGAAACACAGAATTGTTCAAAGCTTATGGGGTGTGAAATTTGTACTTGTTCTTGCAGAAAAAAAAAGAAAAAGAAAAGCAAGATCTCTTCAAGATCAAGGAATAAAAATTTAAATCTTGCTCAGACACACGAATATATACATACACGTACATTCAAGCTTCTAGAAATCAATCGCATTTACGTAACACATTACAAATGACAGCCTAGACTAGACTAAAGTGCATTATTGCCCAGAAATACTTTGCCATAACAGAAGGGTCTTCTCGTCCTGAGGCAGCAGGTGTTGTCGAGAGGTCAGCGGGAGTGTTGATCGGTTTCAATCACGTATGTCACTGTAAAATTACGTCAGTCATTCCAATCGAAAGGAACGTCACTTCAGTCATCACAGTTCCCAACATCAACCCTGATTTGCCGGTTAAGCTCCTCCCCTGCAGCAATCAAAGTCTTCCATTGGTTCATTCAAGAAAGGAGCTGATTGGTCAAGAGGTTTTCCTCACGCCGTCAACTTCGTTCGTCCTATAAACGAAAAAATAAGTGTGGGAATTACATGCGTAATCATGACTAATTCATGAAGGTTTTCCTGGTTTTAGAAAGCATGTTGTTGCTATGGAAACCACACAATAGAGCATCAACAGAATCATCATCTTTCATTTAGATTTCACTTACTATCTTACTGCAACTTCCGCACACTATTTTCACCATGGGTGACATTTTAAAGCATCGTAGTTCATTTCAACACAAACACAACCTAATTATGCTGGCAGTTTTGGCCAAATTTTAAAGGCAGCTTCACATGTAGCCTTTACAGAGGATCTAAGATTGCCGTTCACACCAAGACGAATATTAAGTGTAAAAAATCTGATAAACATTGTTCGAATGAATAACTGTTAATGTGTATGTTCAGACATTCGCATGCAGTCACTGCAACTTTTATTTATTTTTTTTTACAGTGATGCATTCTATCCTCTTTTCCATTGCATCGCGAAGAAAACTGTTCAATAAGATTTGGGGTTTTGCTCGTATGCTCAGAAACGCTGTTTTTAGACAAAACTAAAACTGTTGGTGCTAATGAACAGTGTATTTTGCTAAGCAACAGTGAATAGCAGAGGAAAAATCCCGAAACGAATTTCTCTGTACTCTTGTATTTGTGCGCAGTTCTGCTTTGTGTGCCACTGTATTTCTGCTGGCCCTTAAACGCCACCTACTGTCAAGAGAGTGAAACTGCATTGGTCTGAAAACAAAAATCACATGCGAAAATCTGACTGAATTTTCATCCAGAACATTCATGTTGGTGTGAACAGGAACGTTAGCAACATGCTAACATTAAAATTAATTATAAGTCAAGTCTGATCGCTATCGTTCCAAATCAGTCACTTGTGAGCTTCTGTTACCTGTTCAAACATGAATGTTTGAATTATGTAATTCATATAATTCAAACATTGTATGCTGACGTTGAATGTAAATAATTCGATACATTTTAGTGGGAAAATACTACAAATTCTCACCTCACGCTAATAGTTCTGAATAGCTTCCACGTAGCTCCTGTACTACTCTCCACTGAAAATGAATGACTTCCGGTCTCTCGCCTGTCGTTTGTCAGAGGTAGTGGAAAAGCGGCTTTATTGTCTTTAGTCCTTTGTAGACACAGTGTAAGATGCACCCTTAGGACTGCATGCATACACTAGCTGGTCCAAAAATGTGTTTGAATGTTTGTTTTTTTTACTATTTAAGCATAAGAAACAACATTTATGGGGCAGTTCAGTTTTGTTGCTGATTTTAAATATGTTATTTAAATGTGAGTGTGGTAAGCAGTTTTTGGAATTTCAGGATTTCCCCATTCAAGTATATAAACTTTAGTCTTGGATACCCAAGAGGCATTGCAAATATGGCCGCCAAGTGAACAGAACTTCAAGTCAACAAGTCAAAGTTCTATGTAACGGCAGTGTCTCCGGGCACATGACCAAAAGTGAAAATCCTAATGGTTGGCCAGTTTTCTTCGCAGTTTGATGGAAAAAGAATGTCCATATAATTCTGAACAGATGCATTAACAGCAGTTCATTCAAATTCAATGTTTTTCAAAATGTTCACATTGAATATTCATCTTGTTTTATCAGAAGGCAGCTCACTAGGTTTTAGAACAGAGCTACCATAATCAGTACTGAACATTTCTGTGAATCATTTATCCTCACATGATAACAGATAAAGGGATAGTTCACCCAAAAATGAAAACTACCCCATGATTTACTCACCCTCAAGTCAAATCAAGTCTAGGTGTATATGACTTTCTTTTTTCAGACGAATGCAATTGGAGTTATATTTAAAAATGTCCTGGCTCTTCCAAGCTTTATAATGGCAGTGAATGGGGTCGAGATTGTGAAGCCCAAAAAAGTGCTCTACACAGCTCCATTGGTTAATAAAGTCTTCTGAAGTGAAGCGATGCGTTTGTATAAGAAAAATATCCATATTTAAAACTTTATAAACCATAATCTCTAGCTTCCGCTAATAATAGCAGAATAATAGCTAATAATTCCGTTAATAATAACTACGATTGTATTTGTCTGAAAGAATAAAGTCATAAACACCTAGGATGGCTTGAGGGTGAGTAAATCATGGGGTAATTTTCATTTGTGGGTGAACTATCCCTTTAAATCACATTTGTCACAAAAATAAACTATCCTCTGTCACCACCACAGTGCAGCCCAGCCAATCAAAAGCAGAGCTGTAGGTGAAGACATAAACAACAAAACTATTTTCACCACTCTCTCTCTCTCACACACACACACACACACACACTTGAAGACAAACAGTGAATACAGTGCACAGTTGCAAAAATCACAAGACAATGGATATAAATCAATTGGACAAATACAGTAAAGCTTGTACAAGGCCAAACAAAGATAAAAAGACACAAGAACAAAACAGCAGCTGAACACACACACACACACACACACACACATACACACACATACACACATACACACATACACACATACACACACACAAAGCTTCCTGGGGTTAAAGGCGCTGTGTTAGATGGGTGGGCATTGACGAGGTGACACGTAGGGCACCATGCCATGCTGAGCAGTTCATGCCAAGCAACCAACCACATAAAACCCCACCTACCTGCCCACCGTCCCCAACCAATGGGCTTCTTCTTTCTACCTGTCTATCTGGAAACCAACCAATTACAGCGTGACAATGAAAAAAGAACAGACGTCTCCTTCACATAGTGTGACCTTTACTCAATGCACCATGTCAGATGCTATATTTATCAAGGCTGTTTATGAGATTAATGGATTATTATATCAGTTTATATAAGAGTCTTATACAAGCAGGTATCTCTGCATCATGTGACTGTTGGTTTTACAGTGAAACTGTGGGTGTTTTTCTCTCTGCTCACCTGTGGACAGCTGACTGTGGGACCTCCGTCGGGTTGTGGGGGTTTTAGAGGTGGAGGAGAGGGTTGAACTTGCACTGCTAGCCCTTGAGATGGGGAGCGGCACAGGGGTCACGGGCGGAGAATCCAGCTACATGAGAAAAACAAAGATTATTTTGTAATATGGCCTGCATTTGTAGTGCCCTAGGAAATCAATTTTATTTTTTCCCAAACTCTTTTTTTCTTTTTTTTTTCTGGATTCCATTGTAATGATTAAATCAAACTGGCTAATTAAAAAGCACGCCTTATTAACTGAAACCATGAAACTTATACAATTTAACAATTTATTAAAAGTTTATTTAAAAAAATGTATTTTAGAGCCATGTGAAAACCTTTTTTTTTTTCCCCCAAATTCCATTTAATTTTTCCCACATTCTGTGTTTTACATTTCAATTTTTCAGTTTTAATGGTTTCATTAAACTTTAATCAAAAAGCATGTCTAATTAATTGAAATCATGAAGATTGTACAATTTAGCAATTTATTAAAAGTTTAACAAAAATAAATTTTTGGGCCTTATGAAACCCATTACATTTTTTCTGAAAATGTAATTCTGTTCTGTAATTGAAACATTTATTAACATTTTTAAAATAATAGGGGCCTTATGAAATGTTCTTTTTTTTCAGAAAGTCTGTGTTTGGTTGTCTATTTGATTTTTTCTGGATTTCTGATACAAATGTATTATCTAAAACAGCATAAAACATTAACGATTTAATTAACAGTATAAGTCATTATAATCCGTAATTATGTCCCCACTGGATGCAACAAATGCCTCGTTTATAATGTTTTAATGTTTTTGTCTCGTCACTCCGGCTGGGACACGGTATCACAGTATTGTAAGGGGCGTAACATTTCCGTCACACACTTGAGGTATTCGGCCAATCACAACGCACTGGATAGCTGGCCAATCAGAGCACACCTCACTTTTCAGACCGATGAGCTTTGTAAAAATTGATGCGTTTCAGAAAGGCGGGGCATAGAGGAGAAACAATAATGTACAGTATGTGGAAAATGTGTTTTTTGAACCTTAAACCGCATAAACACATTTCATTACACAAATACACAAAATAATGTTCTTTTTAGCAGCATCATATGACCCCTTTAAAACAATGTAAATCAAATGCCCAAAAAATAAAAGGTATTGTTACATTTTCAAACAAAGTGCAACACAAAAAAGGTTTACTGTGATCACAGGGCCATAAATTTGGGTTGAAATGTTGCTTATGTAAGAACCACAGTTAAATTTTGTAAATTAATTTTTCACACACAAATGACAGTATAAATATGAACCGGAGAGGAGGAAAAGTGGAATAATGAGTGTATTGTGGCCACTGCATTAGTAACAGAAGAAAAGTTGTGGGTGAAAGACAGATCTCAAAGACGTTGTTGTTTTCAGACATGAACACGTGAGGATGTGTGTGTCTGTGACGCTGTACCTCCACGCTGTCATGAGTTGGAGAGGAGGATGTAGAGGAGTTCTCTGCTTGGCGGCGTGAGGAAGACGAGGGCCCGATCTCAACAGTCCGAACACGCTGAGCAAACTTCAGAGAGCAAACCGACTCACTGGCGTTACTCTCTAGAGGAGACACCTGAGATACAGAGAGAAGAATCGCAGTTTATCAGAAAGAATGATAAACTGCACACTAAACTAACATGATGTAGGTAGAAAATCTTGTAATCTTGTGATTGGAATCATAAGGAATTTAAGTAATGTGGTTCCAATTCAGAAACTACTTAGTTGTGATTCCATCCATGATTCTTATAAAAACCCCAAAATGTTTAAACACTGAATTTTCCGAGTGATCGAGACTTTGAGGCATTATGTGGAAACATTTAAAGTGGCAGTGGCTTCAGCTTTAAAATCGTATTATATTTCTGTTTAATAATACCTATATTTGTTTACTGTCAATGCCTTCTAATACAAAATTAAAACATATATTAGACACACTATACAGTTTAATGTAGCGAGCACAGAGTTGAAATACTAATGTCCCACTAAATAAATATACATTTATTAAGAAAGCATTTGCACGACTGTTACTTGTTGTGTTGTGTCTATTGCTTGCTCAAATTACATAGATTCATTTTGGAGTTAACTGTGTTGCCATAGAAATGCATAATTCTGAGTAGAACATCCCGGGTTGTCATCTAGTAATTATGGCATTTACGACATGCCGTGAACAGAGCAATTGGTAAATTGTGCATAAAATGACCAGGAACATTTATTAAGAAATTTAATAGGTTTTGATTTAATTTCATCTTTAATACAACAAACTTCATGATTAAGTATGAAGTTATCATTAAGTGATAAGTCCACAACATTTTTTTGCATTTGAGGGTTTTCATTAGTGATTAGCATAAAACAACAAGCGTGTGCATGAACTGCTTAAAATACCTTGACTGCTCATGCTGTACCAAGTACAGTCTTTATCCCCTAAATCCATTCAAATCCACTCAAAATGTGTCGAGGTTTAAAGTAAGCCTTTCTCCATTACAACCCTGCTGACCCAGTGATCCAGAGAGCGCTCACACACACCTGCACCATCATGAGGGTCTTGCTGTCTCCGCTGAGCGAGTCCTGCAGCAGGTACGTGAGACGCGAGTTCCTGAAGGGCACGTGCGAGTGTTTGGAGCGCAGGGCGTTGATGACGTCGCCCAGCGCAGACAGTGATTTGTTGATACACTGAGCCTCGCGCAGACGACTGCCCTCGGCGCCGGATTTGGTAATCCGCTCGGAACCAGCCAGATCCACCAGATTGAGCTTACCTGCAAAAATAAAGAAAAAAATAGATGGTTTCATATTTACATTTCAGTTATTTGTGTGCGAGGCAGTTTACATGAACTGTGTGTGTACCTGAGGTACGGTGGCCCGTGGAAGAGTTAAAACCCGGAAGAGTTGAAACCCGCCACTGTGACGATAAGGAGAGCGTGAGAGCGAGAGCTGTGCTCGTTTAGATTAGTGCACGCTGTCGCCCTGTTCATGTGACCCAGGTCAAACACCTGCAGGGTCAAAGGTCAGCGGTTACAAATAATGAATTCAATTGAAATGGGTTGATGCTCGTCTCTATGACAGAACTTGCATTGGGACACTGATCACTGAATTTTGAATACCTTTGAATTACCATCATAAGGGATTAACACAATACTAAATAACTGTAAAAATGGTGAGAAAAGTGAAGCAAGTTATGTTATACTACAGCAAATTATGCATAATTAAAAGCAACTAATCTTAAACCAAACTATAAGCCTAACCTTATAGCAAGTACATGTAGCTAATTAATATTACTCAGTAATTAATTGTATAATTACACTATAACAAGAACATCTTAACCCTGTAAACTCAGAAATAATAATCAGAATATATTTAAAATGTTTAAAAGGAAAAGCTTCTCAAAAGGCTGATGTATCATGTCTGATACTCACATTTTAATATGATTTCTCTAAAAAATGATGTATGGATAATGAAGTAACCTAAGCTGCTTCAGTCCAGTAAGTGTTCATCTTGAAATATTACTAACAATATAAATTAAAGATTTAGAAATTAGACTTACTGAACATTTACTTAATAAAAATCATTGTCACAGTAAAAAGACGCACGAACCACAAGCTGAAGGGGGCTTTTTTTTTAATAATTATACTCAAAGGCCTTTTAATTGCTAAAAAAAAAAAGAACTATTAAATCAGATGATGTTGTGTATAATGGTATTTCAGCAAAGTTTTGATAATTTAGATGCCTTAGAAATTTGCTTATCAAATATGATAAAAAAGGCTTTATAGGCTTAAAATAAAGAGTAAACAAATATTTCAATTGTATTAAGTGTACTCTTAAGTAGTAAAATTTTACTTTTCACATTTTTCGGAGCAGAGTAGCTACAGACATGCTTCACTTTGTCAGACAAAACATGCCAAGACAAATCGGCCTAACAAGAAAACTTTTTGTTGCTTTTCCCAGGAAATAATATTTTGTTATCTACAGTGGTGATATTCATACATTTGTGCAGTTCATGAAGCTGGCACTGAAGCGTGTAATGACGACAGGTAGCAACTCTGGTTGGATGCTGTGAGCTTCACCTTGTTAATGTCCTCCACGCTCTCCACGGTGAACTCTGTGAGTCCTGGCACATACAGCTGTCCACTGCCATCTGGACACATCTTTATATCCAGCTTCTCATTGGGATTGTCACCCAACAGGTTCCTGTTGGAAGCAGATAAAAGAAATGAATTCATTTTTATCTGTTGACGTTAAGGAATGTGCAAAATTTAAAGTGGGGCACAGATTAATATTACGCAGACAATCTGAATCAGAACATACACATCTGTTCAACTTACACAACACAGCAGGAGGCATGATGGGAAAAGTGCGGGACAGGGTGAGCAAACAGACAGTGCAGGGGGAAATGCGTGACGTGTGATCTGTTTATGTCTTACAGATGGCCTGAGAGATTTGAAATCTAATCTGTTTTTACATAACTGCTGACCAGCAGAATCTGTGGCAGGTCACACACACTTCACTGTGACATTGGGACAATTATAGAAAAGAGTGCTGAATATGCTGCAGTGATGTGCGTGTCACACTGAAAGCCCTCCTGTAGAGCATTTGATCATCATCATCATCTCTACTTGTGTCTGTTTTTCTCACCGAAGTGTCTCATTGTAGATTTCCACCATGCTGACGGTGATCTTATAGTCCCAGTCGGGCTTTTTCGCCGACACTTCAGAGAAGAGCAGCCGCAGAGCACGCTGGTTAATGCCAGGGTCTTCAGAGACACCCTACATGAAACACAGAGACATGAGAGGCTGACATGAAAATTTATTACATAATCAACATGCTACGGCTGATAGTTAATAAATGGCTTAGCTTAAGATTCTATGCTGTTTTTTTTAAATAAATTAAATAAAATAGGTTTAAATGTAGGTAACACATCATAATGATGTTTAACAGTATGAATAATTGATATTCATTTTGAGATTTTTTTAAAAGATAACATTTAACAGGGTTATTGAACTACACCAATAATCATAAAAAAAAAAAACTGCACTGGCGTTAAAAACTATTTCTAAAACTATCATATCTATTTCAAATTAAGCTGAAAAGAAAGTATCATGATTTCCACAAAAAAAAAAAAAGTCAACACTGAAAATAATAAAAAAATATTTCTTGAGCAGCAAATCAGCATATTAAAATGATTTCTAAAGGATCATGTGACACTGAAGACTGAAATAATGGCTTTGCATCATAGGAATAAATGGCATTTTAAAATATATTAAAATAAACCATTATTTTAATAATTCTATTTTGTCATGATTTCCACAAAAAAAAAAAAAAGTCAACACTGAAAATAATAAAAAAATATTTCTTGAGCAGCAAATCAGCATATTAAAATGATTTCTAAAGGATCATGTGACACTGAAGACTGAAATAATGGCTTTGCATCATAGGAATAAATGGCATTTTAAAATATATTAAAATAAACCATTATTTTAATAATTCTATTTTGTAATAATCACAATATTACTGTATTTTTGATCAAATAAATGCAGTCTTAAGTAAGCATAAGAGAATTCTTTAGAAGTTAGTTCAGCAAAGTTTTGATAATTTAGATGCCTTAGAAATTTGCTTATCAAATATGATAAAAAAGGCTTTATAGCCTTAAAATAAAGAGTAAACAAATATTTCAATTGTATTAAGTGTACTCTTAAGTAGTAAAATTGTACTTTTCACATTTTTCGGAGCAGAGTAGCTACAGACATGCTTCACTTTGTCAGACAAAACATGCCAAGACAAATCGGCCTAACAAGAAAACTTTTTGTTGCTTTTCCCAGGAAATAATATTTTGTTATCTACAGTGGTGATATTCATACATTTGTGCAGTTCATGAAGCTGGCACTGAAGCGTGTAGTGACGACAGGTAGCAACTCTGGTTGGATGCTGTGAGCTTCACCTTGTTAATGTCCTCCACGCTCTCCACGGTGAACTCTGTGAGTCCTGGCACATACAGCTGTCCACTGCCATCTGGACACATCTTTATATCCAGCTTCTCATTGGGATTGTCACCCAACAGGTTCCTGTTGGAAGCAGATAAAAGAAATGAATTCATTTTTATCTGTTGACGTTAAGGAATGTGCAAAATTTAAAGTGGGGCACAGATTAATATTACGCAGACAATCTGAATCAGAACATACACATCTGTTCAACTTACACAACACAGCAGGAGGCATGATGGGAAAAGTGCGGGACAGGGTGAGCAAACAGACAGTGCAGGGGGAAATGCGTGACGTGTGATCTGTTTATGTCTTACAGATGGCCTGAGAGATTTGAAATCTAATCTGTTTTTACATAACTGCTGACCAGCAGAATCTGTGGCAGGTCACACACACTTCACTGTGACATTGGGACAATTATAGAAAAGAGTGCTGAATATGCTGCAGTGATGTGCGTGTCACACTGAAAGCCCTCCTGTAGAGCATTTGATCATCATCATCATCTCTACTTGTGTCTGTTTTTCTCACCGAAGTGTCTCATTGTAGATTTCCACCATGCTGACGGTGATCTTATAGTCCCAGTCGGGCTTTTTCGCCGACACTTCAGAGAAGAGCAGCCGCAGAGCACGCTGGTTAATGCCAGGGTCTTCAGAGACACCCTACATGAAACACAGAGACATGAGAGGCTGACATGAAAATTTATTACATAATCAACATGCTACGGCTGATAGTTAATAAATGGCTTAGCTTAAGATTCTATGCTGTTTTTTTTAAATAAATTAAATAAAATAGGTTTAAATGTAGGTAACACATCATAATGATGTTTAACAGTATGAATAATTGATATTCATTTTGAGATTTTTTTAAAAGATAACATTTAACAGGGTTATTGAACTACACCAATAATCATAAAAAAAAAAAACTGCACTGGCGTTAAAAACTATTTCTAAAACTATCATATCTATTTCAAATTAAGCTGAAAAGAAAGTATCATGATTTCCACAAAAAAAAAAAAAGTCAACACTGAAAATAATAAAAAAATATTTCTTGAGCAGCAAATCAGCATATTAAAATGATTTCTAAAGGATCATGTGACACTGAAGACTGAAATAATGGCTTTGCATCATAGGAATAAATGGCATTTTAAAATATATTAAAATAAACCATTATTTTAATAATTCTATTTTGTCATGATTTCCACAAAAAAAAAAAAAAGTCAACACTGAAAATAATAAAAAAATATTTCTTGAGCAGCAAATCAGCATATTAAAATGATTTCTAAAGGATCATGTGACACTGAAGACTGAAATAATGGCTTTGCATCATAGGAATAAATGGCATTTTAAAATATATTAAAATAAACCATTATTTTAATAATTCTATTTTGTAATAATCACAATATTACTGTATTTTTGATCAAATAAATGCAGTCTTAAGTAAGCATAAGAGAATTCTTTAGAAATACAGGATAAAAAAAAAAACTGCAAATGCAACTATTACATTGCACAAATTTGAAAGTGACAGACATCATGGGCAATAAAAAGTACTGTTACAGTGTTAAAATTAATAATAAAATATGGTTTTATATTATAAGACAGTACAACAAAAACCTCTAAATAATATTAAATATTAATTATCACGCTCAACAAATCCCACTATATAAATAATTTAGTTTAAATATATTTTTTGTTACACTTTAAGGTGTTCTTGTAATGTGTAACAAGCGTTGCCTATTTTTTGTTACGAAAATGTCACAATGCAAAAAAAATGTAAAGGTCACACAAAAATCTTAAAGGTCCTAATGAGATTGGTTTACTTTACGAACAATATATTTCTTTTTTAGTTTGAGGGTGAAAATTGGGAACATGTGATGTACCTCCATAGTATAGGTCTTTCCAGAGCCGGTCTGCCCATAGGCAAAGATGCATACGTTAAAGCCATCAATACAGGAAGTGACCAGAGACTGCACTTCCTGGAACACCTGTCCAATCACAGGAGAGGGGACTGTGATATAATAACTGATATAGGAAATACAACTGTATGAGAAAACTAGTTCAGGCACTAACCTCCTCCTGAGTGGCCTGAGTGGGAAAGACTTTGTCAAGTTCAAAGGTCATGAGCTTGCCCTTATTGGACAAGTAGAGAACAGCATCATCATCAGGGTCAAAGGTCACTATGTTTTTGGTGTCAGCAGCATCTGTTTCTCCAGCACATATGGGACGTACTCGGCACAACACACGAATGTTTCCTGAAAAACAAGATAATGAAGTC